GGTACATTTAAATACAATAAAATAGAATAAAATACTTACATAGAATAAAATACAACAATAGAATAAAATACTTAGATAAATAGGTAAGTAAGGTGCAACGAAGTTTGAGGGAATCATACTTTTTTTAGGGGAAAACATGTATTTACTTATTTTTACGGTTGTAGTTTAGTCTTCTTATGCATCAAACCAAATCTACCTTATTTCCATATGTAGGGTATTTACACACCCCATTACATCACATCTCTACACAAAAATCTGTTTATAGTGTAAATATAACTCTTATTCTTATTTTTTCTATTTCTATTATTGTGTTGTGTTGTAATTTCCCCAGTCTATCTTATGGTATCTTACTTATGTTTCCTATTTTTATATTATGTATACCGGTAAGTTACATATTTACCCGACTCGATTTTGCACATTTATAGGTTGTAATCTCATAATTTTCATAAGCAAAAATATTTGTATCCATATATTTTTCACCTATGTTTTGGTGTTGTGAACAGTTTCAACTATTCCCTATATCCGTACATAAAAAAAAAGAATAATTTTATTTTGAAATCAAAACATTGAACATCCTGTATCGATCTGTGTATCACCGGTCACTTGACGTATATTCCTCTCTATCCCTACAGTGGAGCTTCCGGTGCCCGTAACCGACCTGGGATAAAGAATACAACAGTGCGACCCCCTGGATCAAACTGATCACTTCACCTGCTCACAAACAGCTCGAAGAACCACAATATCCTGATTCATTGCAAAATGATCCCATCTGGCCCTTAAGAAATGTCATTTCAATGATAATGATTATAATAATCATAATTCTATACACATACAATCTCCATAATAGTTTGCCCTGTGATTCCTGTATGTATCTAGTGTGCACATAGGGCCTAATAACTCAACTTTATAGATGAATATAGAGGTTTTTTTTAATTTAATGCTGTTATATTACAATCAACCCAGCACATTCTGCAGTTTGACAGGTGATAAATGGCTCAAACCCAGTGAGTCCCGCCCATGCAAATACAACATTCTCACAAGGGGACTGCCCCCTTTGGCACCACGGTAGTACTGTGTGTGGGACTGGTGCCATGTTGCTGGTCCAGCTGGCACCTTGACGGCTGACAGAAACATGCAGTCAACCAAGCTTAAACGATTAAAGGGTCAAACCAAGTGTAACCTGACGATAGGCAGGGGCTGTGGTAAATAAGGGAGGGAACAAAATTTATTCAAAAACCTGCCAGCCACTTGCTTATTCTCTATGAATGCCTGACTTATGAGGGGGCAGGAGGACTACAGCAGGAAGTAGGAACTACAACCAGCACCACTTCTTTCATTTGAAGTTTCTGAGGGGCTTCGGGTCAACTCTCAAGCACTAATGAACTACTGAGTTTTTCTTCCAAGACAACTGAGAGAAGGAGCCTGTCAGCTCTCGGCACAAGGAAACCATCATGGGATCGGTTAATTCAAAGCTCCCGCAGTTCCTAAAGGGTTCAGGCTCCACATTAAAGCTCTGACATATACTGAGAGATTACCAGTGAGCGGAGAAACCCCGGGCTGACTTCTACCAAGAGTGGGGGGCCGGGGGAACTCTGGGAGACACATCACATCTTGGCAAGGCATCAGCGTTCACAGGGTTCCCACACTCACTTTGATACTAACGTTTAAGATCTTGCTCGGTGGAATTCAGTGTAATATAATCTGCAGGTGTGGGGACAGGGCAAAGCAGAACACTGGTCAATCCAGTTATTTAAATGCTTTAAACACAAAAATGAGAGGCCTGTAGGGAATCCACAAAGTCGCCGCACACATACGAGTAAATGACAAAAGCTTTGAATAGAAAATTGTTGGTTTTATTTCCGAGTTAAGATCAGCTATCAGACAGTATTCATGACATATGGATTTTTTTTTTTTTAAAGAATCAGATCCAAACAATTTCTAATTATGAACCTAAAGAAGTTCTATTCCCACTACGTTCCTGTTGAATTACATAATTTGGGAACTTATGATCAGATTCTATTTTATACATTTATTACAGAGGATGAGAGAAAACACATTCGTATAACAAGAAAAAGGGCAATCAAGAATAATTACGAGACATTCCAGTTCTTTTGAGTAGCTTCACTAAAAAAAACAAAAAACAATCAAAGACAGAAGACACCCATCTGAGAATTGTGCAAAATCTATCATTATCACATAGTCGAAATCTAGACATGTATCGCACATCCTAATCACTGTAAACAACATTAGAACAAGATGCGCTCACAGTTGGCAGCTCAAACCCGCCAGAGGTCTCGCATGGCACCAGAGATCATTCAGGACGACCAGGAGGAATTAAACGACCTAGTTCAGCCTCATGATTTTCTTTTTTTTTTTATACATATACAATTTTAAAAGTTGAACATTTTCATGGTTGTGTTTCTCAGCACTCTGAGGCTACAAATGACTCAGAGATTGTTCCTGTGTTTTCTCTGCAATGGAAGAGAAACTGGTGCAGAAAAAACACACACACACACTTGGGTCTCAAAGCTGTGGAGGTTAAAGCAACAGCCTATTTGAATTTCAAACTATTTTCCAAAACAAAGGTTAGCCCTAACAAGTCCCATGACTCACATCATGTCACATTTCACCCTGTTTCCCAAAAGCTTTAACCAACACCTCGCAATGCAAGTAAATCTCAACAGGCAAATGTATCACCATTAAAATTAAAGTAAAAATGATTTCTTTTTGTAGTGTGTGTAATAATTTCAGTTTTACATTATCTCATTTCAAAGCCAACAGACCTATTTATTACATTCCTAATATTTTCCTGGAGAAAATAGACATTTTTTTACAAGAAGACATCTAATCTGCACTAATAAAACAATGAATGGCACAGGAAGACACAGATATCTCAAATCAAAGCAAGGACAAACACACCAGAACAGGCAATATTATGGCAACAGATGAAGTGAAAGTGCAGAGTCTCAGTGATTGTGAATAAGGGGGATAGATGAGGTATGTCTTCTTGGCCACATTTAGGAGGCACTGAGGCAACACCGATATTAGGAACATTACGAGGGAAGCATGAAGCGAAAATTTGAATTTTAAAAACAAACTGGAAAAAAAAAAACACATCAGTTATGTATATTTGATTTTGATATATTTATGTATATTTGAAAATGTCTTTGGGTCTGAATCTTGGAGGAAATGGGTCTTTGGGTTAGATGCTGACAGGCAGAGAAATGGTAGTGTTGTTGGTGATCATTATGGCTCAGAGAACGAGCCAAAGGAAGGAGCATCTTTGGCTCGGCGAGCAGATCAGCCGACAGATCAGCTGCCTGCCCGCCTGCTCGCCTGCTGCTCAGTTTCCAGTGTAGAGATCCACAGTGCTGGAGCTCAGGCCCCGGCTCTCCCTGAAATTACTGCCTCCACGAGTCTGACAAAGAAACACAAGAAGACAGAACAAAGACACGGAAGAGGGGAAGGATATGAAGGTTAAAACATGTCTGATAATATAGCATGAGTGTTAAAGACCTTGCACAAACTGCTCCTCACCTGGAACGAGTCATCACTGGTTTTGTTCAGGTAATTCAAGGAAGCGGCTCGCTTCATGCTGTTGAACAAATAGTAAGAAGATAATGTTTGTACTGAGATCAGGGTAGAGGTAGAAGATAAATATAACTTATGTAGCAGGGGAGTTCATGTGTAAACGAGTATGAATCTACTTGTTTCCCAAAGACAAGTAGTATAATTTGCTTTATATGCCTGCTATTCATCACAGCAGAGGATTTCTCCTGTTCTTACTTGGTGCTGCGGGGTTCAGGCGGCCCATTGCCCTGCAGTTTCTTCACCAGCAGCTCGCTGCTGCGGCGCAAAACGTCCCTGAGCTTCCCCAGAGAGCCGCTGCGCTGGAGGGCTCCGCTGCCGTCCTGCAGACACACACAATCATCAACCCCATCCATTCTGCACTGAAGACGTGGGGACAAGAACTCAGAACTTTTCTTAACATCTGCAGATGCAGGTTTGTTCTGCATTAGTTGTTGTGTAGGCCAGTCCTGCTGTGAACGGCTGGATGCAGCCTAACCACAGGATCATGGCGACTTGAAAAATAAAAAGGGGGGTCTGCATTGCTTAATATTTAATATACAGGATTTGTAAATGTGTGCAATTATAGCATGTAGCACTGGCATCATTTAAATATCTGACTGCTGACCTTTAAGCATACATTTCATTATCATCCTGCAACCATCAAGAAAATGTGCTCTTGTAAAGTGACACCTTTAGAGAAAACTATAGTAACTTCAGTTCGCACAGGTGAACACATATCCATCAAGCAAGGTCAGTGTGAAGGTCTTGTTCTGGTGTCGTGGGTTATTTTTCATTTACTCAATTGATAAAAAAGAATCAGAAACTATTATTTAAATTTAAAGCAAAAATGCTAAAACATGACTTATTTCAGCATCTTAACTGGGATAATTTGCAACTTTTCTTTGTCTTTAGTGACATTAAACTAAATATTTTGGGGCTCTGGACTGTTATTGGATATCTGATAAAACAAACAATGTGAATGTGTCACCTTGGGTTCAGGACAGTGTGATGGACATGTGACATTGTCTGTCACTATATAGACCAAATTATTTATCAATTTATTGAGAAATGAATAATGATAATAATCAACCAACTTGAAGCTTTTTGACGGTATTAGTCATTTATCCATCCATCCATTCATTTTTAGATAAACATAGTGTGTGTGTGTGTTTTAATTACTACCCAACCAGTAAACACAGTATGTGTGCCTTCCTCTGGCTTTGGGAGGACCCATAACAATATGCTTATTAAATACCACTCCTTAATAAACAGCGTTTGATGTGTGATCATAATGCAATACAGGTTTATCACCAGCAGGGGGAACTGTGGGTAAATCAGAGGATTTGCATGCATTTTCCGTAAGTATTTCTGTTCCACTGCGTGGCTCTGCAGTGACCACTGATGGCACATGAATACACTTCTCCCTCCGATGCAGAGAAAAGACAAAACTTCACAAATGAAAAACTTTATTTGAGAATACCAACAAGTGTTGATGCAATAATCATCACAATGCAGAATGGTAAATATAATGCAGTCCTACTTACTAAGATAGTGCTTATAGACCTTACCATTTATGTTCTTCCACTTTAGGAAACTGAAGTCACACTATATATGTCAAGAATAGACAGTTCAATAAATAAGCATTCCACTAACACAACAATATTGTCATAATTATGTGATGTACATAGTCAATTCTTTGTTCAGAGTTGCATTAGAAGTATAGGAGTACTCATTGGAAGGAATGAAGAATAAAAGGCAAGTAGCATACTGAACAGCCGTATAGTGAATGCACTTGTCAAATCTATAAATACAGCCTACAATTACACTTCCAAGATGTTAAAGTCATTTTTACATTCAGTAAGTTAAACATCTGAAATAACATGTCGATCTTGAGGAAACACTCGCACTGTACTTTGGGTGTCTAAAAACATGATTCACCAAAGTGACAATGTTTACTTGCAAACAACTGTGTAAGAAAAAGGCAACACACTCCATTAAGCTGTGTTCAAAATACAGTATCCATAGCCGAAGTGGGCACTGCGACTGTACCACCAAAACACACACAAATACACACGAGAACTACTGTGGATTCCAGGCTTCCACTGAATTATAACGCAAGCTTCTACTAGTACACCAACAAATAAAGGCAATTCTGGGCATTTATGTCCTTTATGTTGAAATCTATTTATCAATCTCTCAGGTGGCCAGTATCAGTGCTAGATGCTCCGGTTGGTCTCTGCTGTCATATTGGCTTTACAGCAGCAGCCAATGTTGCTAATTCCCTTTGTAAATGCAAGCTGCTGTGTACATACTGTACCAGCATAGAGCCTGTGTGAGTAACCATTAAACCAAGGGCACTGAAGCCAGTAAGAGCAACTTGAATATAAATTCCCATGGCAACAAGAGCTTGCTGTGATTTGACCAATTTGCTGTCGTTTGGCCTATTTGGTGCTGGCCCTTCTGGTCAGGCAACACTACGGCATTGTTGACAAACTACTGCCTTAATATTCAGCCACAAAATAATCGACATTTTAAAAAAAATGTAAACAAATTTATTTAAAAAAAATCTAATTAATTCAAAAAGAAATGTATCTATAAAAACAAAAATAGCAATGCTCCCTTCTCATTTCCCGCCAACTAGGCCTCAGAAGTTAAGAAACTACATGTTCTGATTAGCATGTGAAATCTACATGGTACCATTCATTTCCACACTGTTCAGGCATTTGATCTCATTATCGCATTAGTTTAAAAACAGAAAACACACGTAATGGCGTAAAAATACCTTTCTTTAAAATAACAAAACATACTATAATGGCTAAATACAGGCACCAGGTTGGAAGCTATCTTTGAGGTCAACTTTCCCTTGCTGTAGAAACAGACTGCGAGTGCTCAAGGCAACAAACAAATTCAGAGTGAAACCAATTATTATTCTTATTATTCTGTAATACATTAACTCTATAGTGATCGTTTTATCAGACTGTGGGTTGGAGTGATGTCTGGAGCCAATGCTGCCATCAAAGGTGACACTCATCCTCAAAATCATTCAGTTTTTCTGTTTTGCCTTCTTCCAATAAGTTATTAGTCCTGCTCCTCTATCAAGCTAAAGAAATCTGCTATGCACCTATGAAAAATTACAAATGAGTGTTGGAGAGAGGAGAAATATGCGAGTGACTTCCTCACAGGGAAAAGATTTCACACACAACAACTTTTTTTTTTTAATGTTAAGTGAGAGAAAGAGCTGAAGTAACGGTTTC